AAACAAAAGATGTATCAAAAATTATACTTTCAACAAATGTATTGTTGATAAGCGTTGCATCGAAAAAATTACACAACTGCAAAGTGGTTTGAGTTGCATTTACATTCAACAGATTAGCTCGATGGAGGTTGCTGCGATGGATCTGAGTGGCGTGCAGAAAAGTTGATGACATTTTGATATTTAAAAATTCCGAATTATCAAATAAAGCTCCGTTGAGATAAGCCAGGTCTATGGTGGCCCCTTCAAAGTTACATTCATTGCATGTGAAATAACGCATTTGAGCATTTTCCAAGGATGTTTTCATAAAGTTAGCCCTATAATAATCAGCACCAACGAAATTCGAACCGTCAAGCGTTGAATCAGCAAAATTGACACTGTACAAACTAGAACCATCGAGACATGCAATCGACAATCCGTTCGAGGATGAAAAGTCACTATTGATCAAATAAGAATTTTTAAAACTCCAACTCCAAAATTGTGCATCTTGAAAGGATGCATTTGTAAGTATGGTTGCATCGAGAGAGACACACTCGATTTGTTTAGATAACTGAAATTTGCCAGTCAAGTTAAGACCAGTTAAATTGGCTGATGATAGGGAAATGGTTGGATACCTATCTTTTTGAATTGTGAGAAGTGTATTTTCGATCAATGATACAATGACAAGTGTTTTTCGCTTCGAGTTGAGTTGATTCAATGCTGCAAGTGTTGTAAATCGACCTATCCGGCGACCCACTGCGGTTTCATTAAGATTGACACCATGCTTCTCCAATAATTTTCCAAGTGAATTAAAATAATTGAGTAGAATGTCTTCTTCTTGTTGTTCAGCAGCTAGGAAAATATCCTGTTGTCGACGTTGTTCAGCTAATTCAATATCTTGTTTATGACGACGCTCGTCTATTTCAAGATCTTGTCGGCGATTTTTCTCGGGGATTGATATATCATTATTATTTTGTATGACGGTGTATATAATAATAACCACTGGGATTGAAAGAGAGATGAAAAGTTGAGCCCATTCAAACCATGAATGATGGTTCTTTTTTTGAAGCTCAACTGAATCTTTCATGACTTCTACTACGAAAGAGAATAAATTAGCTGTGTTTTTAATGCTGTTGTTCGAGAGAAGTGTTTTTTTTATATTGCGAGTATCATGTTCCTCAACAAAATATTAATACAATGCACGTTCGCAGTGCGAAAGAGAAAACTGTATTATATATCTCAGGGTGAGTGGGTGGTTTTAACAACAATGCGACCAATACACTGTCATATGAAACCTATACGTATGTAAATTATTTAAATGACAAGCGGATAAATACAGTTTGTCCTTTTCGGAGGAGAAAGGACAAAAAATTCAAAATCGAAGATGCAATGATTGAAAAGTACTCAATCACAATATTCAATCGTTTATATTTTTATGGCAATTCAGAATAATAAGGAAAACCATTAAGGTTAACAAACATTTAGCACAATTTTCTTTTCACGTCTTACAAAGGTAGGTTGAATTTTAGTAGTCTTTGTCCAAACGAAATAAACACATACACATAAGTTCCATCACTGTGGGTGTGGGGGGGGGGGGGGGGGGAGTGTGGGTAAGGATGGGAAGTTACCGTCACCGTCCCCAAGTAACGGTAACGAAAAGTTACCAGTTACTTTTTCAGGGTAACTCGTTAAAATGAAGAATTATGACTTTCTATGATCAAATTTCGTCGATAGAGTAATTTTTGAATTTCGGAGTTATCCGGTAACTGGTAACGCGAAACCAGTTACCAGTTACCAAGTAACTTCGAAATTTAAAAGTTATTTTTTTCACAAAATTCGATCGTAGGAAGTCATAATTCGTCGTTTTAACGAGTTACCTTGAAAAGTAACTGGTAACTTTCCGTTACCGTTACCGTTCCCAGGCAACGGTCTGGGAACGGTAACTTCCCATCCCTAGGTGTGGGTGTGGATGTGGGTTTTCATTATATCACCAACAACCAAACCCACACCCACCCTCAAATTCACACATTTTAGGTGTTTTTATTGAAACAATATCTAACCTTTAATATCACGTATGTATTTATGGTTCGACTCTTAAAAAGAAGCTTTGGATATGTCTGAGTATCATGATGATTTTCTTCAAATTTTTGCTTTTTTCGCTAAAAAGTCACTGTTTATGGTTTCTTTCTAATTACTAGATTTCTACTCTACTGCCTTCTGACGGGACACTAGCCGATTGCGCTTTGATTTTCTTACATATAATCAAGATTCAACGAATAAGTTTTTCAAACTGTCTGAGAATTGTAGTAGTTACTAAAGAACGAAAAAAGTTAGCTTCTCAACTTTTTCAATCTCTTCTTGTCACATAATCTGAATTATTCATGTCTCATACTAGTTGACCTTACGTACAAACTAGAAAAGCAAAGAGAATTCGTACTATCTCATTTCAAAATGAATTTTTTCTTTTAATCATTAAATTTGAAGAGAAAAGATGGAGAACACAATTTATGAATAATTCATAATATTTTAAAAGTAATTACGCAAGAAATGAGTTTTATTATGAAAGTTGAGCTAAGTGTAATTCAAAGTTTTTAACATGTTCTCTATTTCCTTATAATTCAGAATCGTTTTTTCTAATTCATATAATTTCTTTCGTATTGTTTCTGTTCTCATTCAAGTTGAATTAAAATCTAATCAAGCACTATAACATAAATCTTCATGTGGTAAACTAGATGATACACGTTCTAAATTAGCTACATTTGAATATATATAATTGTTGTTGAATAGCTTGAACATTTTCTGAAAAACTTCGAGCTATGGATTTAGTATGTTCACGAGGAAATTACTCAGAACTTAGTTATGCAGCAAAATTATTAGCATATCAAATTATTGATGTTCATTTGTTTTCAGCGTGACGTAATTGATCAATAGTTTAAGATGTTGTGTATGTAAAGTCTGGCATGTTCGAAATAATATAAATTCACGAATCATTAAGCCGACTGAGCGAAAAAGGATAATGTTTTAAACGGATCAATATTAAATGCACTGGACGTGGCGATCTCCTATAATACTAACTGGGTCATGATTTTCTCCCATACTAGAAAATAAAAGAAAAATTTTCTCCACTGAACTAAGTTTTTTTCTTAAAATGCAATTATAACCGAGAAATAGTCGATACGATCTGTCCAATAGAAACAAAATTGGTCCTTATTGGCTTCAGCAGGGAACGGTAATACAAAACAAAATGACAGCTTCATAGTATTAATTCGGGTTTAATTTTCATTTAATTGCATTCGAGTTTATTTCGTCGCAATTCCTTTTATATATAAATCAAGTCTATTTATGAATACCGACGATCGTTTCGATCGTTCACCTTTCATAAATACTCCATGTTACCTACAAGGCGACATGCAGAATGCGAAATTATTTCTTTTCATTCTGTCGTCTTCTAAGACGACGTACATCATATTTTGTATTTAAAAACAATAAAAAATAAAAGCCTGAATGATGTTAAAATGCCGATTATATATACTTCAAGGCTATAATTATAGCGACTGTTTCATTTTTCTATTGAGATTTCCATTAGTTATCAATAGTATCTTTTATTTCAAATTGTTATTTTGTTGCTTCATTTATTAGAATAAGATGAAATTTTTCAAAACGGTGTGAAAAACAAAGACCTTGTTCTTCAGCATAAGTTTTGCACTGATAAATAGTCATTTTTCGAATTTTATTCATGTAGCAAAGTATGCATCTTTTTTTGTTCGTGTCGACTTCATTGAGGGTGTGGATATGGGTGTGAGATGTTGGTCCGACTTGATCCTTCTTTTGATGTATACTAACACCCAAACACTATTACATTCATTTTATAAAAGTATACAATCTATTACAACACGATTCGATCACCTTGGTCATGAATCAGCCACAGATGCACTATTTCATTCATTTTTGACAGTGTATGTTTTATTCGCCCTTAATGGAAGGAGTAAATATGAATAAGAAATCAGCTTTTTTCTTTTCTTCAGTATGAAAGGCATTTATAGGATATGTTTTTTTTCTGAAGTTCGAAAAAAGATCGATTAATTTTAAATAAGTATTTTTGCATCCACTGCTTATGTTCAAATGATTCAATTTGTAACGGTACTAGTTTTTGCTGCTTCATTCGCATATATACACGGTTTGATGATTTATTTCTTCTCACTTTGTTGTTTCATGTCATGATCGATACTTAGGTGAAAATACAACAATATCTAATTACTACTGCAATGCAGCAGATACTACTGTCCAATTTACTCTGTCTTCATCACCTCATTCTGCATGGCAACCAACATTAAATTGCTCTTTACAACAGTGTTTTGTAAGCTCAAATGCGAACGACAGCTGTCGTTTATCATCAACACCTTGCTTCAATTACCGTACATTTAATAATATTACTTACTGTGCACCTGCTAGTATATGTTCGATTTTGGAACCATGTGATAATATTACTTATCGCTGTGCATCAAATACTTCTATATGCGTTGTGAACTCGTGTTGTGCACTACAAGTAGTATGTTTACCATTGTCAATCATGAATTTCTGTGAATCAGGTAAAAGAAAACCTATTCAGACTCATCATTATAAGAGAAACAAAATAACTTAAGTTGTCTGAATTGTAATCGAAATTTTATTCGGTTTTTACAGATTGATGATCGAGTATGAGTGGGCATGATTGACGTGGGAGATTTGCACTCAGCCACATCCATATTCTCAGTAGGTAGACTTCTTATCATATCAGGACGAAGTTTTGCATGTAGTTTTTTTGAACTCACCATTATCTAACAGATGATTGCATGTGTCTGCTATTTATTTTATTGATTTGCGTCTTCTTAGCCACATCTTGTCCACTAACATTTATATCACAATGTTTTCCCGTTGGTTTTCTACCAACCTCCGTTGCTGTGGGCGATTTTAATCGTGATGGTAAACTAGATGGCATCGTCGCGAACTCCGGTAGTAATACCGTGACTGTTCTATTTGGAAGCATGAACGACATTATTGGACAAACAAGCTTTTCAACAGGTGTAAATCCACAAGCAGTCGCTGTTGCTGATTTTAACCATGATGGTAACCTGGATATTGTCGTGGCGAACTCTGATGATAATACTCTGACTGTAATACTAGGGAATGGTATAAATGACACTCTTGGACAAGGTATCTTTTCAACTGGTACAAGTCCACAATCAGTTGCTGTCGCTGATTTCAACCTTGATGAAAAACTAGATATTGTCGTTGCAAACTCTGGTAATCACACTGTGACTGTTATCCTGGGAAATGGTGTGAATGACACTATTGGACAAAGCAGCTTTTCGACCGGTAAAAATCCACGATCAGTTGCTGTCGTTGATTTTAACCTTGATGGTAAGCCAGATGTTGTCATTGCGAATTATGTTGATAATACCGTGACTGTGTTACTTGGAAACGGTGTAAACGACACTATTGGACAGGTAACATTTCCAACTGGCGGAAATCCACGATCAGTTGCTGTCGGTGATTTTAACCTTGATGGTAAGCCAGATATTGTCGTCGCAAACTTTGGTGATAATACTGTGGCTATACTACTTGGAAATGGTGTAAATGATACCATCGGACAAAAAAGCTTTCCAACAGGCAAAAATCCACAATCAGTTGTTGTCGGCGATTTCAACCTTGATGGTAAGCCAGATGTCGTCGTTGCAAATTTCGGCGATAATACCTTGACCATACTACTTGGTAATGGCCAAGGAAGTTTTATTGTGTACGAGACTCTCCCAGCTAGCGGTAATCCAAGCTCCATTGTTGCAAGCGACTTTAATGGTGATGGTAAACTAGATCTTGGGGTAACTAACTATTATAATAGCACAGTGAGTGTTTTCGAGAACTTTTGCTCCGCCTATGTGTTATGAATGCAACTTTTGTTTTTTTTTGCTGATTTTTCAACCTGTACTATCATGATGTCATAACAATGCACTTCCAAATCATGATTTGCGCGTGGGTATGGGGTGTAGGTGTGGGTGCGGACAATGGTGAAGAGAAAAATAACTTACACTCAGACACTTTCTACTTTCATGGAGTTCTAGTTTTTATCAAAATATGAACTCAATCAGCCATTAGCGGTTGGTTTGTTCTCTCGTCAATCCAAGAGCTCGTAAAAATAATGTCTGTTTTGTGAACGTCAATGCTGAATGACCAAGTTGGATAACAAACTATAACCGGTTTTTCCTCGGTTCTTGTCTACTGTTACACCTCCAAGAATGAGGTTGATACGGATCTTTCAGGTGCTTGGGGAGAAGTCGAAACGAGTTATGATAAGCTTAGAACGGTATAATGAAAATTCTTTATTTAGAAAATAAGACGAATGTACACGCAATCGCAGAAAAATAAAAAAAAGTGAAGTGTTAGGCTTAACTTAGAGTAAAAGATGAACCAGTCCTCTGGTGATTGTGAATAAATTCGTCAAGCCATTATCAGTCTCTATGATCACTAAAAGAATGTCTACAAACACCGCATTCGGTGTTTCCGGGTTGCCAACGCCATCCTCTTCCGCAGCTGCGTTTTTCACATGGACCATCTCCTTGTTGAACTTTCTTGGCCATCTTTTCTATATCAAATATACTGCGTAAATTGACGATCTATTTCTAATGACAGATGCTCTCTTTCTATGTGCAACTTACCCCTTCAAACTTTCGATTGTTGGAAGCTTTCCATTTCTTCGAACTAATTTACAAAATGACTACAGTTGGCGAAAATCTGTGCCATTTATATGTTTCACACTTTCTTTCCATCTGGGTTATATGTAATAATGTAAACAAAAAAATTCTTTTTTCTTATATTCTCTTCCTTTTTTTTTGCGGGGTGTGGGTATGGCTGGGTGTGAGGGTGTGCGTGTGCGTGGGTGTGGATGGGAATTCAATTGATATAAACACCCACACTCTCCAGATTCCCACAGACTTGATTTTGTCATTATCATCAAAATTAGTTTTTTAAATTTTTCATCACTACAGAAATACCTTTTTTAAAAAAGCAATTATCTATTCAAATAGAGCTTGAAATTCTATCATTCCATATCGATTTGGGTTGACTTTTATTGATTTGCTCAAGAATAATTCTAGCAGGGTGTGGGTGTGTGGGTGTGGGTGGTTGTGGGTGTGGGGCGTGGGGTGTGGTGGGTGCGTGTGGATGTGAGTGTTGTTTGGATGGATATGGGTGTGGATGTTGTTTGGGCGCGAGAATGGTTAGAATGGCAATAACGACACCCATATCAACATCAAACCAATCCCCACACCCACACCCTTAGAAAAGAGGGAAATACTGATCGATTAGCGGAATAAACGTCAAATGACTAAGTACCCAGTCGTGGCTGGGTCCGAGTCAATGACTGGGACCCAGTTACTGGCACTGGTGTACACCTACATGCGTCCTAGCATAATCAAGTTTATCAAGCTGAGAAACATATTTATTTAGCATAGATTCCATCATTGATTTCTTGAAAAAAACTTGGATCAAGTGTATCACGAATACTCAATGTTAACTTACAAAGATAAGGCATATAACGAAGTATACATGCGATATCATTATGAAACAAATATAAATCATGAAAATATCTCTCACTTGGCAAATGCAATTCTTAAAAAAAAAGGAATTTCAATCGCGAACAGATCGGCTTGATATGTCGACTTCACATGTATTTTTATGGCTTCATTATACTGACACACATTATTTTAACAGTAAGACGCTAAGTTAGTTTCAATTTTCTTGATAATAAAGACTTTTATTAAGTTTGATAAGTGACGTACATGTAAAATATTTTTTCATTTAGTTTATCAATTGAAGTTACAGTTATAAAACAAAGTCAACGAATAGACATTGTTACTAGGCAATATACAATGGCTTAACACCACTCACAAAAAGTTAATTAAAAAGGACAAATAAAATCGTCCGAGACGAATATGCATTCCAAAGACTTTAAAACACGAAATACTATTGTAAATAAATGATCCGAATCTCGTAATCAGAGTCAAACAAATAGAATCGTATTTGCAACAAGATCAACAAGTGCGCTCAAAAAAATGGACTCATACATATCATTTTGCAAGACTGCCAAGAGAACTATTGTCAGACAATGCATTACACTATAAAAATGGAATTTGCAGTGGTCTAAATATTGTCAATAAGGTTGAAATCTTGCAAAATCTTCTTGAACAGTAGAGTATATACTTCAGATGAAAGACAAAAACGAGAACATCTTCGAACAACAACAATGAAATCTTCATCAATACTATAACTGCATCATTAACTTTCTTTTCAAAATACTATCGAGTTTTTACTTAACAAAATTTCTATATTTACCAATCGATTTACAATAATGGGATTTTTAGATGTTTCACACCATTTTCAAGCGTTTTTCGAATAAAATGTATCAGTAAGTACATTAAATTGTGTGCTAGAAGTTGAATTATCCTTTTTTTTTAATACTGGTAGACAATCCTATTTAGGTTTATTGAATTGTTTACATAGCTCAACTGAATATTATAAAATGTTTTTACATTTTTTGTTCCGTGTTTTTATGCATTACTAAGTTCAGTAATCTCTAGTAAATGATTCACTGTAATAAAGTACACAATGCGAAACAAATCGCAATAAAGCTCACTTACTCTGAATGAATCGAATTTTACATGTGATTACATTTTGCTTTGTGTAAGTCTTCTATTGCTGCATTTGTCACTTAGAGCATTGGTGTGTCACTTTAAGCTTTGAAGAAATCATGTTATGCCAGTTGACTCAATACGAATGACTTCTTTTATATTTTCATTAATTAACATTGTTTGATATAGGATTTGAGTGTATATTAAATTCAGTATGACAAGAATTATTACAGATTAAAAAAAAATAACGACAGATTCACGTGCACATGCACGTGACCTATATATAAACAGTGTGAGAGCACATGCACACTACTTCTTTGGTATGAATATGAGAGAGAGAGAAAAAAAATTATACGGCAAATGAAGACTAAAACAGAGTATTCAATTAGTCGATTTTCTATCGTTCTAAACGATTCGTCTCATATGTCTATATATTCGGTCGTATCTTAAATTGTTTATCAAATTGCGGTTCATCTATATGAGTAACAATTATCAATGTGGAATATATCTGATACTATGCTAAATTTCCAGAGACATTCTAATACACGTAGTCGTTTTCCATTTATTTTCAAATCATCTCTTTGTCAATCTTCGTTTACTATAATAATTCATTTTCTGCATTATGCTTTACTCTTGACGTTTCTTTCTTCCTTTCTTTCTCGTTCTTTTCTTTTCCTTTCTTTTTTTTTTTTGTTGATGTTTTATGTATATCACTCTAACAGACACATTTATTGTTAGTTAGCTGTTCTCTTAGGATCATTGAGGTCAAAAAGTAAAACATACCAAATAAAGAAGTTATTGTGTAAATGGGTAAGTAGCTTGAAATATTCATACATATTTTTATCATATTTAATATAGAACTATTAAAAATTATATTAACTACTGAATGTTTTTTACTTTCGATGTGAAATATGACATCTAACACGAGTCTTCCTCCATCGCCCGATCTATTGTATGGTCAGCTTTACTTCGACATTCAACTTGCTCATGTATTTTCCGACACAAAAATTTTCGTGGATTCCATTCCAGACATTTCACCATCGGAACTAGTCGTTCTTTACGAACATGAAAAAATCTTACCGGATTTTAATCTTCTCACATTCGTTAATAAACATTTTCATCTTCCATCATGTACTGCTTTGACTTACACTAGTGATCCAACAATGGCTCCTAAAGATCACATAAATAAACTATGGGATTTACTTTCTCGACCAGCTGATACGCCAATTGAAGGTAGTTCAAAAATACCTCTTCCATTCCCGTATGTTGTACCCGGTGGTAGATTTCAAGAAATTTTCTATTGGGATTCATACTTCACCATGTTAGGCTTAATTCTTAAGCCTGAGTGGCTACATATAGTTAGAGGAATGATTGACAATTTCGCCTATATGATTGACCGATTTGGTTTTATACCAAATGGAAGTCGTACCTATTTTTTAAGCCGATCTCAGCCACCATTTTTCGCCGAAATGATTCAGTTGTTAGCTGATACAGATCATACAGAACATATCAAACAACGATATTTACCTCAACTACTCAAAGAATATGAATGGTGGATGACAAATGCTGATCAGTTGACAGATGAACAACCAGTTAAAAGTGTAAGTTTATTTCTTTAGATTCTACACTGTAAGAATGAAATCGGTGTTGAGGCATTTAATTGATAAGTTGAAAAAAAAACTTCTCACCAATGTCTTATTATCCCAATACTTCTTTCATAATGACTTTCTTCAGAAATTTATAAATGAAAGAAAATAAAGATATTCGACTAGTCGATTGTAATACTTTTAGCATGTTGTACGATTGCCCGATGGCACGATTCTCAATCGATATTGGGATCCATTGACTACGCCTCGGCCAGAAGCATATCCGAAGGAAGAAGCTTATCGTCAAAAAGCTGAGCAAAATGGCATCTCTGCTGAAAAATTCTATCAACATATCCGAGCTGCTTGTGAATCAGGTTGGGATTTTTCTTCACGTTGGCTAATTGATACTAAACGTATGGAGACCAACCACGCAGCAGATATTGTTCCGATCGATCTTAATTGTCTTCTCTACTCTCTGGAGAATTTACTTGAAAGTACATATAACCAAAAAGGTGATTTGGAATCGAGTAAAAAATTCGGAGGGTTAGCAGAAAATCGAAAAAATGCAATTCAAAACATCCATTGGAATAATGAAACTAAATTTTTTATGGACTATGATTGGACACAAAATCGATCAACACCTGCCGTTACACTAGCTGGTGTTTATCCACTCTTTTTTAAATTAGCAACACTTGAACAAGCAGCACATGTTCATGAACGTCTTGAAAAAAGTTTTCTACAATCTGGCGGTCTAGTTACTACTCTAGAGAGAACTGGTGAACAATGGGATTGGCCGAATGGATGGGCACCCTTGCAATGGATAGCTTATCAAGGTTTGAAGAATTATGGATTCAATAAGTTAGCAGCTGAAGTAAGACTACGATGGTTGACTCTAAACGATCGTGTATTTAAAGAGACAGGAAAAATGACCGAGAAATACAACGTAGTGGACAATGTGAAAGCTGGAGGTGGCAACTACCCTCTACAAGACGGATTTGGTTGGACGAATGGAGTCTATTTAAAACTGTTGCATGATGTTTAAAATAGCTAGCTAGTACCCATGTAAAAAAAA